TCAAGACGCCTCGCTCGATGGAGTCTCCGACTACAGGAGTTCAACATGACTGTAGTCTACAAGTCAGGCCGCAAGCACAGCGACGCCGACTGCTTGTCCAGGGCCCCTCTCGAAACACCTTCCGGCAGCATCGACGACAATGACGACGAGTGGTTCCTAGGAGCAGTGACCAACGACGACCTGACACGACGTCAACGAAACGATCCTGATCTGCGCGCATTAATTCAGCACCTGGAAGGGCGCGGGAGCACCGTGCCCCGTGTTTTCTCACGAACCCTGCCGACCTTCGCCATTCGACAAGCTGTACTCTGCAAAGAGAACTTTGGGGACAGTAATTCGCCGTGGCTGCTGGTAATCCCGAGTGACCTTCGAGAGGAGATCTTCCAAGCCCGCCATGACGACCCGACGTCCGGACTCCTTGGTTACAGCCGGACACTGGCCCGTATTCGTGAAAAGTATTACTGGCCCAAGCTCCCCAAGACCGTCCACCTATACACACGATTATGCCAAGAGTGCCAGCGACGCAAGAAACCTCCGACGAGGCCGGCGGGACTCCTGCAGCCCATTTCTCCTCCAACTGCACCGTTCCAGCAGATCGTAATGGATCTACTTGGTCCTTTTCCGCCTTCGACGTCGGGGAACCGCTGGATCATCGTCGCCACAGATTATCTCACGCGGTACGCCGAAACGAAAGCTCTTCCTTCGGGGACTGCTGTGGAAGTTGCTAATTTTCATTGAGTCCATCGTCCTGCGGCATGGCGCTCCAGAAGTTGTGATTACAGATCGCGGATCATCGTTCATGGCACAGCTGACCCAAGAAATCCTCCGACTCAGTCACACCAGCCATCGAGATTAGAATGTTCTACGCGCCGAACCTTCTACGCCGAATGCTCCAGAAGCCCACGCGTGTACAAAAGCGGCTCCGCGGGGCAAGCTGGAGTCAGTTTCGCCCCAGCGTTCGACTCTGCTGTCACGCCGACTTCGACGCTCGCGACGCTCTACTTTCCTCTGCTCCCTTTTCATTTTGGGCACAAGTTCGCCCCATTAAATGTTTAGTTCCTTCATTTATTATCGCCTCATCACTTGTCATTCGTGACAATATTCCCTAACACCAGACAAATTTTGTGCAGAGTCAGCTGTCGAAAATATTCAACTTTGTTTGCCGTCGTTTCCCGACCTCCCAAAAGTTCTGTAACGGGCCATCCCGAACGCATGCTCACGCCTAATAAAATATTTCTGCTCACTTGCGATTTTAACCTACCGAGCATTGACTGGAATACATTAGCTATCCCGCGATCACAATACGTTGACAGCGAACGCCATCTTCTGTGTTCTACGTGAGTTACCGAGATAACCTATTCAATTCTAGTCCTTATCTTCACAAACAATTTTCCAAAAGATTGCATTGTCACTAAAAGGGACGGCATTGCCGATTATAATTTGGTTCATTTTAGTTTTAATCATGTAACAATAAGGCAACGCTTTTATTTCAAACATTTACTGATTTCTCAGCCACAGATAATGAATCGGTTATCGATTTTTTGCACTTCTCTCGTCGATTTTGAACGGAGTGGTGACGTTTCACTTCATTTGGAAAATATCAAACTCCTCCTCATGACTTGTAGGGCTAGGCGTCGGTTAAAAATTTTAACTGGATCAATTGCCTAAGATTATTCGATTAATTAATCCAGTGGTTCTCAGTCATTGATGTTTTGCGGACCCCTTGTTGATCGGCAGAGGTAATGGAGGACCCTGTTCGTGGTGAGGGGAAAGTATAGGTTAATTTTGATAGTGATTTAAGAAATGAATTTAACTGAGGGCTAGTGTGAAGTAAAGTTCACTTATTGACGTATACACGAGAAAACGCACCCGAAAATTGGACCGTTTGTTCTGAATCTGAAAAAAAAAAAACAAAAAAAAAAAGCTTTTATTTTTGGGCTTGACTGATGAGGCTGGGCTTCGCGGACCCCAAGAATGCTTTCGCAAACCCCAAAGGATCCGGGACCCCCATTTGAGAACCACTGAATTAATCGATTAATCGGTCGCATTGATTTTCAGACATAAGGTCTGCAAACGCTTCCTGTCAGACGCTGTTGAATGGCAATCTTTGTAAATTTTCGGACTGGTGCGAACTTTAGAGGATGAAGATTAACTTTTCCAAAACAGTCGAGATGACTGCATCAACGAAGTAAAATCCCTTATTCAATAGTTATCACATTGCTCACCGGCGCATTCAGACTGTTTGTTCTGTAATCCCTTGCCTATTGATAACAAGTGTCACTGGTGCCACCCCTTACGGACTATAAAACTCGACCACGAGTGTGATTCGCGTTTCGGTTTCGACGCTTGTTTAGCGTGCTGTCCGGCTGATGGCAAAACCACCCTTGGTGCTTCATTTACCTTGAGTAGCTTTCTCGCTTCTTTTGCTGTTCCACAGAAAAATAAAGCTTCACTTAGCTCAGAAAAAAAAAGGAATCGCCTGTGAGCGCTCACGTTAAGAAAAAAAAAAAAATAAGGCTTTGGTGCGGAAGTTCGCTTTAGCCGGCAAAAATATAAAAACCTTGTATTTGAAAAGAATCAATGCTCAGGCATATGTGAGGGCGGATCTTTCAGCCTTTCCAATTTTTTAGGAATCAAACATTAGTTTGATGGGCAGTGGGATGAATCATGAAAACGATGTGAATCCTGCTAGCATTCCATTAACTTCAATGTCTGCACGTCAATGCACTTTGACTAGAAGTCCTGATTTAGAGCAAGATATCACACCTGGAAGTCTATAAAACTTTTTGTATAATTTTATTGCAAACTGACTGTTTAAAACAAATTGTTCCTCTACGTTCCCTGGAACAAAAAATTGAGCAGGCAAGGGGTTAAGTGGGACAAGCATCTCAAGAACATAAGCACTAGGGCATTAAAAATCTGCGCTTTCTACGAAAAAGATTGAAGTGATGTCCCTCGAAAGCCAAGCCAAAAGCCTACCTCAATTGTATGGGATTTGTATTTCATTAAATACATTACGGATGTGGAGAGAATTCAACCTCTTGCTCCTCGATTTATCTCACCAGACTATCGATGATAATCATCAGTAACTAGTATGCCAGAGCAGCTAGAAATGAAATCGTACCACCTACGCCGACAAATGGCCAGGGTAAATTTTTTTTTTCACTTACTCGTTCACAACAGATCTGGTTTATCAAGTGCCACCTATTTACTTCCTGCTCCTCCCATATCAACAATTATAAATCACTCTAAAATAAATCGGCCACACCTTGCCAGAATTTAACTATTTAAAAATCGTTCTTTCCCAACACAATTGAATTGTGGAATTTCGTGCCGACATTATTTGTTGAAAGCGTAGGTGTGTATACATTTGAGCATTTCCTTTTGTCAAACCTGACGCGCTGCCCAGGCAGGATCAAACCTGATCCTGCCTGAGCAGTGCTCGTACCCGCAGTTTTGGGAAATAAATAAATTAAAAAAAACGCAATTTGCTACTTCAAAACGGTCGCGCAATCTAGATTCGTAAATATTTTGAATCGTAGATAAAACTACTATACTGTGATATCCCCTTAACGCTATTATAGTAGCCGTAATAAATAGCCGAATTAACCAGCAAACCGCCCCTGGCAAAGGCGCATGACCTCAGCGAAGCAGCAGGCCGAAGCAGAGCGTGAGTGCCAAAGGTCGCAGTTATTATGGAAAAAAGATATACTTCACCGACTGCAAAACCAATCGTCTCGCCGGCGGTAGAACCTTTTTGTCGTCTACTCTCAACAGTCGAACAGCACGTCATGCGTATATGCGCAGTTAGAAAACGTGCGGTTTTTTTATTCCTTCTGATTTCAATTCCAGGACAGAAGAGCAGCTGCTGTCTCCGCAATTTGCACCGTTCGCACGTAGGTTCGTTCTTCCTCATTCTGAAATAGTTCACGCACATAGCGGGTGCTTGTTTACAGCGACAGCTGTTATGGGCTCGTCCCTAAATCCTTGAAAAATATCGCACGCCGCCCTGCGGTAATGGTACCTGGGTCCGCTGCGAGCAAAGCGGAGGCGCCAGCATACAGCTACATTTTAAGGAAATATTTCCTTAAAAAAAAGAAGAAATTGCTCCGCAGCTCTATGAATAGGCATCAACAATTAAAATAACTTACCGTTGTTTTCTGAAGATATGTCGAAAAAGGCATCAATATAAACCTTTCCGTTTTTTTTAATCGCGAGCACATTCGGGAAAATGACGTGCCACTTGATTCACTGCATTCCTTGGAATCACTGCTTGTGTGAAGAAAACGAAAGCCTGCTTTCAAAAGAAACGAGCCATGCGTCATAATCTAAGAAAGAGCCGCACACATTCTTTTTCGAAGAGCACACTAAATAAGAAATACTAATCGCCTTTGAAGAAACTTTGAACCGGCCGAAACAAAGCACGTTTTCTGCTTTACAAATGCCATAAATTCAAACTGCAGTAGGATACCGCATGTGCCTTTAAACATACTGTGTTCTCTAACACATTTTACATTTCTAGAGCTGACAAATATCTAGGATTCACAGCTTGCAAAGCTTCATCGAAAAACAAAACAACATGTGTTGTTGCCGGGCCCCCCGGAAAATTATGTAGAAGCCTTTCCGATATTGTCTATTTTTGTCGAAACATGGTCTGGATGCAACTGGTGTCTTGCTGGTCAACACTTTTAACTTACTAAAATTTCAGTGCAACACTAGTCTAACCCAACTTCAGCATCCTTTATCAAGCTAAAGAAGTCAGGCTTGATGCACGGGGAATAAGCCAATAAACAGAGCTCTTGTACACACCACTCATAGGTCAATCTTCATGCAACACATAAAATTGATCGGCTTAAGCAGAGCGCAGCGATTGGCTGTTCACATTTTTTTTTCGTGCACTTTTAGGAACCTCACGCTATTGGATTTTAATATACAGAAATACCAAGCACAGTAGCTTTAGAATAAGCGAGATAGCATGCAGAAACACAGCAGTCACTTACAGATTCTCCCACGGAATACACCTACGGGCACAACTGTCCGCAGCTCATGGAGGAGACTGGTCGGGCAGTTTTCCAGAGCGCCACATGAATTCGCCTGGAACACATTAGCATCATATGGGTGGTAAAATCTCAAAACATGAATGCTCATAAAGGACAGTTAAGACTGAAGTCTCAGCGCAAGCCTAGCAGATCCTATGAATACATCGAGTCCATCTAACGACTTCAATGCATTGATCATAAGTTGTAAAATACTCTTATCAATTATTTTTTAGCAAAATAACTGGCTATAATCCTCTGGCTTTGTAGCCTTTTTCTTAAGCAAGCTTAGAGGGTAAAAAAAAAAACAAGATTAAGTTTATGACAACTCTTTATCGTATATAAAAATACATACCCTTGATATTATTCCGATGTTGCCTGCACACGCAAGAGAAACTTGTTTGTATAACCACAGGGCTTTGCGAGTGTGCTCAAAAGTGTAACATAAGTCTACACATACACATTATACGAAGCAATGTCAGTAAGTCGCAAAAGGCTGTTTTTGAAAAATTGCGCAACATACCAAATAAAAATTCCGTTATAATTCTCGACATATTTTCTCCCGACATTGACACATTTATCACATCTCTTTACCAGTGCCCAAGCACATTTACCGCGAAATTCCTTGGGCTTCTTTCTTAGCTACGTGCATACCTCACGTTCTACACCTTCATTTGTCGCGAAACGTTTCCCGCCAAGGTAAGTTTTAGCGGACAACAACAACTGATAGCCACTTGGGGTCATGTCAGAACTTTAAAAGGGCGATGCAACGATTTTTGCGCTTCGCGCCAATATCGCTTAGAACGAATCCCTTACGTTAATGACCTATAGAAGGCGTTGGTTTTTCACCACGCGCAATAGAAGCCATAAAAACAAATTAAAAGCTAGCAGAGTTCACCCCCTAAACTCGCAGTCAGAACAATCGACCACGTGATCAGGAGCCTAACATATGCCGCAAATGTAGATCAGACACGCGCGGGGTTTAGCAAAGCATAGGACACGCGCTGAGTTCCAGCCATTGTTATGGTTCGGCTATTGTCATCATTGCAGCGATTGGACAGGGGCCACTACCCGAATGCTTGTCGAGCTGTTGATCAGTGATAAGGCAATGCTCAGTGATCAGAGTGATCAGGCAATGCTCAGGTTCAATCTGTAAGCCGATTTAAAATATTGTCACTGGGGGAAAACTGCGACCCCCAGCTACGTCGTCAAGTTTTTGAAGGAGAGATTGAAAGCAAGCGCTCGCTTTTGTCCTTAAAATTACACTGCAACAAAGAAGTTCCTTGGTAAGTGGCGTTTCGTGCGAGTGTACTTGGGTCCCACTAGTGCCTGTAAGCTCGTGTAAAGTGAAAAATATTCCAAGCGCGTATTGTTGCTGTGACAAGTTAGTGGTGCCCCCCTCCAGTCCGCCCGTCTGCGGCCGCCTGGCTCGGCGGGCAACATTGTTCACCTCGCCCAATAAACGCCGTAGAGCGCACGCCGCTCCGGTCAGTCATCGTCCACCCTCAACCAGGCTGCGTGTCGTCTCTCCTCGGCGGGTGCTTCGGCCCCCTTCGTCCACGTTCGAGAAAGATCTTGACACTGGCGACGAGGAACCGTGGCACTGGAGGCCACCAACGTGCACGGTTCGGCCCACGCCGCCGAGAGAGTCGGAACACCGCACCCCGCTCCTGTCGCCATGCCGCTGTACGGGAGGCTCGAGCCGTTCGACGGAGATGGGTCCGCCTGGCCGGTCTACGAAGAACAGGTCCACGTGTTCTTCCGGGCGAACGACACGCCCGAGGCGAAACAACGGGACATCTTCCTGGCCAGCTGCGGGACCCGAGCCTTCAGCCTCCTTCTCGACCTCCTCAAGCCGGCCACGCCGCACGTCAAAACGCTGGGTGAGCTGCTCGCCACGCTGCGCTCGCACTTCAGCCCGGCGCCGTCCACGCTTATGGAGCGGTTCCGCTTCAACAACCGGAGCCGCCAGGACGGGGAGACCCTCGGGCAGTTCGTCGCTGCGCTACGAGGGTTAGCGAGCACCTGCGCCTTCGGCGACCAGTTGGACTCGCTACTCCGGGACCGGTTCGTCTGCGGAATCAACAACCCCGCCATGCAGACGCGACTCTTGGAGCTCCCCGACCCTTCGCTGGACGACGCGGTGAAGGCAGCGCTGGCGATGGAAGCCTCAGCAAAGCACGCCAGCGAGATAGCGCGTGCGGCCGGCTCACCGTCGACGGAAGCGGCGGTGAACAAGATGGCGGCAAGGAGCGGTGCCTGCAGCCGCTGCGGTGCTGCCCACTCCCCCTCGCAGTGCCAGTTCGTCCAAGCACAATGCTTCACGTGCGGGAGAACTGGGCACCTCGCACGTGTCTGCCGAGGGGGGAGGACGAGCGGCGGCCAGCAGCAGCAGCCTGGTTCAAGCCCGGGTTCCAGCCAAGCCCGCGGCCAGGGTGGTCGTCGCAAGAGAACGCGGCGGGGACGAGCGGCACCAGGCCCGGGTTCGTCTTCAGCCAGGGTCCACGTCGTGGCCGAGGACCCGCAGATTTTCGACGTGTGGCACACCAACAGACTTCCATCGTCTGTGCCACCATACTTGGTGTCCGTCGAAATCTGCGGCCACCCCATCACCATGGAGCTGGACACAGGGGCCAGCGTGTCGGTCATGCCCGGGAAGCTGTTCAAGCGGACCTTCCCCGGCGTGTCCATAGAGGCGTCTGACGTCATGCTGCGCAGCTACTCCGGGCAGCTTTCCCAGGTCCAGGGTCGGGCCCAAGTCAGCGTTCGCCTTGGCGACAGGGAGGCAATCCTTCCCCTTTACTTAACCAAGGGGTCGTCGCCGACGCTGCTGGGCCAAAACTGGATTCACTCGCTGGGTGTTCGGCTGCCGGAGTACCAAGAAGCTGCGCTGCACGTGGTGCAAGACGTCCCGAGCCTCCTGACCGACTTCCAGTCCCTGTTCCAGCCGGGGGTGGGCACCTTCGCCGGCACGACGGTCGGCATCCACATACCCGAGGGAACCCGGCCTCGATTCTTCAAGCCGCGTCCTCTGCCGTTTGCCCTGAAGGACGGGGTCACCCAGGAGCTGCAACGGCTGCAGCGAGAGGGTATCCTGGTGCCCGTCAAGACTTCCGAGTGGGCTGCACCAATTGTCCCAGTCCTCAAGCGAGACGGCCGCGTCAGGATCTGCGGGGACTTCAAGGTCACCATCAACCCCGTCGCTACCGTCGAAAAGTACCCGCTGCCTCGGGTAGAAGATCTCTGGTCGGCTCTGTCCGGGGGACAGAAGTTCACCAAGCTCGACCTCCGAGATGCCTACCAGCAGCTGGTGCTCCAGGATGCCGCCCGGAAGTATGTCACCATTTCGACTACCATGGGACTCTTCCAGTACACACGCCTACCGTTCGGCGTGGCCTCAGCCCCAGCCATCTTCCAGAGAGAGATGGACAACCTCTTCAGGGGCATGAGGCACGTGGCGGTGTACTTGGACGACATCCTGGTTACCGGTACCGACGACGGGGACCACCTGCAGAACCTGCGCAAAGTCCTGACACGACTACAGGACGCCGGTCTCAAGCTGAGGCTGGACAAGTGCGTGTTCCTGACCCCCAGCGTGGAGTACCTGGGACACATCATCTCCCAGGCTGGCCTGGCCCCGGCACCCCGCAAGATTGAGGCCGTGCTCAAGGCACCGAAGCCCAAGAGCAAGAAGGAGCTTCAGAGCTACCTCGGCCTCATCAACTTCTACAGGAGGTTCCTGCCCAACCTGTCGACGTATCTGGAGCCGCTGCATCGCCTGCTTCGTGACGGGCAGCAGTGGGCCTGGAAGAAGGAGCAGGACTTGGCCTTCCAGCGCAGCAAGGAGCTCGTTGTTAAGGCTCCAGTGCTGGCGCACTTCGATCCGGCCAAGCCTGTAGTCCTCACCGTGGATGCGTCGCCGTACGGGGTAGGAGCCGTCCTGTCGCACCGGGGTCAGGATGGTCAGGAACGCCCTGTGGCGTTTGCTTCTCGTCGACTACATGCGGCGGAGCAACGCTACAGCCAGCTCGACAAGGAAGGCTTGGCCCTCCTCTTCGGGGTCCAGCGCTTCCATCAGTACCTGTGGGGCCGGCAGTTCGAGGCAGTCACGGACCACAAGCCGCTGCTGGGGCTGCTGGGACCTGACAAGGCGGTCCCAGTGCAAGCATCGCCTCGTGTGGTACGCTGGGCCTTGACGCTGGCAGCCTACAGGTACAAGCTGGTCTACCGCCCTGGGAAGGACTTGGGACCTGATGACGCCCTGAGCCGCCTGCCCCTGCCGGAGGTGCCTGCTGCCGTTCCAGAGCCAGCTGACGTTTTCCTGCTGGAGCGGGCCTACCCGGGGGTGCTGACCAGGACTGCGGTGGCGCAGGCGACCAGCCGGGACCCGGTCCTGTCTCAGGTGGTCAAGGCGGTTGCCCGAGGGGAGGAGCTGTGTCACCAGGCGTTCAGCCACAAGACCGCAGAGCTGAGCTTGGAGCAGGGCTGCCTCCTGTGGGGTTCCAGGGTGGTGATTCCACAAAGTCTGCGGGCCAAGGTGCTGCAGCTGCTGCACGCGGGGCATCCTGGCATCGAAAAGACCAAGATGGTGGCACGGTCGCACGTTTGGTGGCCTGGCTTGGACCAGGACATCGTGCACCAGGTGCAAGGCTGCCAGGTCTGCCAGGAAAACCAGCGAGCCTCGCGCCACGTGGAGATCACCCCCTGGCCGTTCCCACAGAGGCCGTGGTCCCGCTTGCACGTGGACTATGCGGGACCCTTCAAGGGCCACTACTTCCTGGTGGTAGTGGACGCCTTCTCGAAGTGGGTGGAGGCACTGCCAGTCACCAGTCCCTCGGCAAGCGCGACCATTGCGGCTCTGCGGCAGGTCTTCGCGGCGCAGGGATTGCCGGACATTATCGTGTCTGATAATGGTCCCGCTTTCGCCAGCGCCGAGTACCTGGACTGGCTGCAGAGAAATGGAATCCGCCGGATGCTGGTTCCGCCGTACCATCCTGCTTCCAATGGTGCAGCCGAGCGAGTGGTCCAGACCATCAAGGACAAGCTCAAGAAGAGCCAGCCCGGGGATTTCCGGACGCAGGTGGCCCGGGTACTATTCCAGTACCGGACCACACCTCACGAGGTCACTGGCCGTGCCCCCTGCGAGCTTCTGCTGGGCCGG